AGCAGACCTCATGGACAGCGACCAGGACACAATCCCGTGGGGGCACTCGGAGCACCAGATGGGGGCTATGCTGGGGGGAACCTCACAACGACTGGGAGCAGAGCTGAGCCGAGAGGCACCTGAAAGCAGTGACAGCGAGGACAGCCATAGAAGGCGTAGAATGCACTCTCACCTGTGATTCGGAGGGGCACGCGCCAATGAACCGTAGCCTTGTGTGTGTGTGACATCCTCTCTTGCTCCTTGTTGTGAACTTGCTTGGCAGTGGTACCCCATGTAGAGAGAGGCTACAGGGTTGAGCGGAAGGTCGAGGTCCTGTGCTGGGGATGAGGCTTCAGTTCGGGATACAGGCAGGGTCAGGCAGGAAAGGAGGGGTTGAACCACTCTAGGGGCACTCGCAGTGGCAACGTTGTTTGTTTTACATGTCTTAGTTCTGCACTGCATTGCCACCACGGGGGCACCCAAACCGGCAAAACGTGCTGTCCCAACACTCCTTCGTACAGTCAAGCCCCTCCAACAAAATGATGGAGGGGGTGCGCGAGCGCGCGGGCTGCGGGGCAACCCGTAGTCTTTACCCCAAAGCAAAGCAAAGCAAAGCAAAGAGAAGAGAATACAGCCATTTTGGCTCAAGTAGCAATTAATTTTGGCTCAAGTAATTTTGGCTCCAGTGTCAGAGAGGATCTCATCCCGGGCGCAGAGAGCCGACCGCAGACAGAGTGACTGCGATGTCAGGCGGGAGGCTTCCGTTGCTGTGCCTGTCTTTGATAGTGAGCCATCGTCCTGAACGGTGACTGTGCGATTCTACGCGACTTCCTGCCGGGGCCTCTCGATGCGGACGTTGTCACGGACGGTCCTGCACTACAACCGCAGCAGATGCGGCAAGCGCGGGACATTTGCTCCAGCTACCTGACAGCAATCGGCGGCCTACTCACTGCACATACGGAGGTGGGGATTCAGCCCAAGATCGAGCAGCCAGCCAGAGCAGAGACCAGTTACATGTCGTTTGCACATCCTGCACTTTGTCCAGCTGCTTGCAATTATCACTTTGCAGTCATGTTCACACGCATGTTGCAGTCACTTGAG